GAATCTTGTAATGTAAATTAAAACGCTGTAAGTGTATCGATAGGTAGGCTAATATAAGTTTTACATTATTATTATTATGTTGGAGCCCAAGGCATTACGTAGGTGGTGGGGTGGGCGCCGATTGGCTAAATGAATTGGGCTCTTGAGTTTTGTAATTTTAGGTAAGCTAGGACCGTAATGTAATGAGTAGATAAGTTAAGGCTACGTTGTAACACATACTCATTAATAGATTTAGGGTTTAAGTTTTTTATTATTATTACTAAGTTGGAGCCCAAGGCATTACGTAGGTGGTGGGGTGGGTGCCGATTGGCTAAATGAATTGGGCTCTTGAGTTTTATAATTTTAGGTAAGCTAGGGATTAATTGTAATGAATAGGTAAGTTGAGGGTACGATAGCCGATTGACTCTGGATTTCAAAGTCTCTTGTCAGAGGTAAGCCTTGGTGGCCAGTGGTGAACCGGCAATGGTTTACTATCCGGACGGCAATGGTTTACTATCTGCACGGTTATGATTTACCATGCGGCACGGCCATAGTCTACTACCCGCACGGCTTCCGGACGGCAAATGGTTTACTATCCGCACGGCAATAGTCTACTATCCGCACGGCAATGGTTTACTATCCGGTGCCCTGGCTGTCGGTGAACCTCTGTGCAAGGGAGGGAGAATGAAGGGGGACTTTCGACTATCGTACCATTAACAATTTAATATTGATTAGTTAAGGTAATTGAATAGGTAGATAGGATTATTTTTATTAAGCAATTTGAGACGCAGGCACCGCTAAGCTTTTCTGATGAGAATCTTCTCTCTCTATCTCCATCAACACGGGCTGTGTTTCAACAACAATCTCGAGGAGGACTGGCATCAGCTTTGGAGGACAACGTAGGAATCGGAAAGCATTTAACATTCTGTCTTTTTCAAATGGACGACGGTGAATTTTTTTACATTTCACTCTCTTTATTATCTATTTGCCATTATTTTCATTTTATAATTTTTTGCTTTTAAGATTTTAACATTCATTTACTACTACGCTAATAAAAAATTTTGTCTACAGAATGATGAGAGGTGGGCAGTGGTGGGTGTCAGCACGTTTCAGACGGTGGTCTCTCATGATGATTTACATATGATGATGGTGGTGTAGGAAGAATCAGCTCGTTGGCTGTTCGACTGACACTCTGCAGTTTGGATGACATCTTGTGTGCCGACCAGATGGTGATGGTCGGTGCAATGGAGTACAGTAACGAAAATTTTTGAAGTAAGGTTTAGTTTCGTTTTTTTGTTTTTCCCCATTCATTCATTTTCTCACTCAATATTTCAAATTATTTAATTGACTAATTGATTCATTACATTCATTCGTTGATTCATTGATTGATTAATTAATTAATTCATTCATTTTATCTATCAACCAATCATTTATTCGTTTGTTCCTTCGTTCGAACATTCATTTACTACTATGTTAATAAAAAAATTTGTCTACAGAATGATGAGAGGTGGGCAGTGGTGGGTGTCAGCACGTTTCAGACGGTGGTCTCTCATGATGATTTACATATGATGATGGTGGTGTAGGAAGAATCAGCTCGTTGGCTGTTCGACTGACACTCTGCAGTTCGAATGACATCTTTGTGTCGATCAAATGATGGTGGTCGGTGCAATGGATTACAGTAACGACGATTTTTGAAGTAAGGTTTAGTTTCGTTTTTTTTATTTTTCTCATTCATTCATTTTTTTCACTCAATCTTTCAAATTATTCATCCATTAATTGATTCATTCTATTCATTCATTGAATCATTGATTGATTGATTAATTAATTAATTAATTCACTCAATCATTCGCTCAATCCTTCATTCGTTTGTTCTTTCGTTCTAACATTCATTTACTACTAAGCCAATAAAAAAAATTTGTCTACAGAATGATCAGAGGTGGGTTGTGGTGGGCATCAGCACGTTTCAGATTGTGGTCTCTCATTTACATATGATGATGGTGGTGTACAAAGAATCAGCTCGTTGGCTGTTCGACTGACACTCTGCAGTTCGAATGACATTTTGTGTGCCGACCAGGTGGTGGTGGTCGGGGCAATGGAGTACAGTAACGACGATTTTTAAAGTAAGGTTTGGCTTCGTTTTTTTATTTTTCTCATTCATTTATTTTTTCACTCAATCTTTACAATTATTCATCCATTAATTGATCCATTTTATTTATTTATTGATTCATTGAATCATTGATTGATTGATTAATTCACTCAATCATTCAACCTTTGTTCCTTCGTTCTAACATTCACTCACGACTACTCTAATTAAAAAAATGTTGTCTATAGAATGATGAGAGATGGGTTGTGGTGGGCGTCAGCACGTTTCAGACGGTGGTCTCATGATGATTCAACAATATATTAAGATGACAACAATAACAATAAAGGCTATTCGGTTCGTCTCAGATGATGGTCGGTGCAATGGATGTTTGTCCGTAGTGAGAGAAGAAGTTTCTGGAGATTACATGCGCGCACATTTACACACACACATCAATACAACACACACATACGCAACATCCATTCGTTCGGTGTCGTTGTTGTTATGTTTCTCTTTAACTTTCTATTCTCTTTACCGGACTTTAATTTAATTCGTAGGTAAGTTAGGGATTGAGATGAGTTGAACAATCGTAGGTAGGCTAGGGCTTAACATTAGTTCAAAAGTTTTATGTAAAATAAAAACGCTAAAATATGTAAAATAAAATACCTGAAACGTGTAAAATTCCTAAAACGTAGAAATACAAATTTGTAGGTAAGTGAGTTGAGTTAATGATTATAAGTAAGCTAGGGCCCTGAGAGTAATTTAATTGTAGGTAGGTGACTGACTACTATTCTTGCGACTTCTTACTAGTTTTTTGTGATGTGTTTGTTTTCGCTTTACAACACCACACCAACAAAACAAATATTTCATTCTCGTCGTCGCCTTAAATTTTACCTTTTTGAACAATCATTTTAATAATGTCGATTTATTTATTTATTAAATGTTGACTGGTTTCTAGTTTTTTTAATGTGGTTATATAATTTCTGGATATTTCTTGATTTACTTTTATATATATGCATGTATAAATAATTTCTGTTTGGTATGTTGATTTAGTCATTATGATATGCTGTGAACTGTTTTTACTAAATGTTATTGTTACATTCTCCGAGAACTATTAATGAGTGTGTATAATAATATTAATAATGGATAATAATTATTTTTTATCGGTCGATATTTTGTTATATTTGTTTAAAATACGAATTTTTAAAAAATTGACGTTTTTAAAATTTTAATTAACCGTCACTTTTTATTTTTGAATGAATTCAAATAAAAGCAACCATTGTTTTTCTTTCTTTACTAAAATCTCGAAATTGTTTGTAGATATGTACGGTTAAGTGTTTGTTCGAGTTTGAACAAGCCTTGAAAATATTTTTTTTGTTTATTTGGTTCAATTTGGTTGATTGATTGGTCTGGTTGGTTGATTAGTTGATTGAATGAATGGTTGGCTGGTTGATTAAGAGTTCTATGAAACCCTGTAAGCCACTGCAGTAAGCAAACGTATGATTTCAGCAACTAGTTTCTATGAGCACCAGCAGAATGTAAAATATTCATTGAATATAATGAAGATAGTTGTTTAAATAACAATTTTGATTTATTTAGGCCGTTTATTCATAAGCAAACAAATTTTTAACATGATCGAATAGTGTAAAAAAAGAGTGACTATAGTTCAATCCTAGTAAGCCAACCCTCGGCTTCAGTAAGCCACCGAATTTCACCGGACCAAAAGCAATTTTTATATTCAAATTAACAAAAATAATTTAATAATGCATAACTCTATTAAATAAAATTAAATAGAATAACTACAATGTTTTAAGCATATTAAGTCAAGTAAATATTTCATATAGCTTGCTCGTTAAAATTCATGCAATTTCGTATGCCAACAATCCAAGCATGACAAATAGGCCGACCGATTGATCGTAACTTTTGACACGAACGATAAAAAATCACCCTCCAAATCTTTTCCTTGTTCGACCGTTAAAAGTAAGCGAAGGCCGTTATATTTAATCTAGTTATGTGGTTCTATGTCAATGGCTCTTTAATTAAAAGAGAACAAAATTATTTTTCTATGTGTTGTGATTCCTTATTATCGTGTTGCTCGTGTCAAATCAAAAAAAAAACTCATCAGCCGTTTAATTTCTCTAATCTAATCTTAATCGTCCGGAGATGTCCGAAAAAGAGGAGAAAAATGTGGCCGTCAGGAGCAACATTTCTGAAATTAAAAATAAACAGCGGAGGGCCGCTGCTTATAAAAAGTTAAAAATGGAAAAATTGAAAGTTTGAGAGTTTTTTTATTTTTTAATTAATTATTAAATTAATTATTATACTAATAATTTTTGATTATTAAATTAATTATACTAATAATTATTATTACTACTATTAAATTATTCAACTGTTTATTCTTTATTTACCTGATCGCCTACAATATGTTATTTATAATTTTATATATAATATACAATATAAAATTTTATTTTAATTTTACTTCTAGATTTGAATATCATGAAAGTTTAATTATTTAATGTACATTTTATTTTTAATTAATAAATTTTATAATGAATGATTAGGTTATTATTCAATATTAATGATTAATTAGTTAATTACTTGTTTATTAATCATTAATTAATGTCCAATGAATCATTTCATTGGCTTGTAAAGCTAGTTAGTGATTTGTATGTATGTTAAATATTTTAAAGAAATTTTATAATAAATTAATAAATAAATGATAAATAATGATACATATTATATAATATCCTTTAATGTTAATGGTTAATCTATATTAAATATTATAATAATATATTATAATAATGTAAAAAATGGTTGGTTAGTTGGTTGGTCGGTGGGTTGACTTATAAATTAAAGGTGGAGTGCTTCTTTATTTTTAATTTATTTTCACTAAAACGAAGTTACTTTTTATGATTTTTTTTATTGATTAGGTAAAAAAAGAAAAGAAGAAGGCCATAGAAAAATTGAGGAATGAACTCGGCGAAGAGGTTGTCAGTTCATTTCTTAAAAATTAAAATTTAAATGTATATATTTATTTTAGAAATTGTTATTAAAAAATGAAAAACATTTAATCATTTTTATTTTATTTAATCAAACAAGACAAAATGTATGACCAAAAACATTTAATCATTTTTATTTTATTTAATCAAACAAGACAAAATGTATGAATAATTTGGAGACCAAAAATAGAAAATTAGTTGTTGTTGGCTAGGCCACCGAGTCACTTTAAATAGTTTCTCAATGTTCTGATTATGTAATGTATATAATAACCTTAATAAAAATATATTGCATAGATATGTAATAATTTATATTTATTCTATTAATAAGGCAGTACCGAAGCAAATTCCAAAGACTATTGAGAACCAAAGAGTTTTCGACGAGACAAAAATAACCGAATCCGATGACGAGGTTTGTTCTTGTTTTTAATACAAACATTTTAAAATTTATTTATTTTTTATATTATCATCCTCTATTATTATTATTATATTTTAACATAATTAAATTTATTATTTCATATAGATTATTTTATTTTTCTATATTTTGGATCATAATTATAACTATAATTTTCTATAATTATCTTATGAATCAGTTATAATTGTTATTACTTTGACTCAAGATAATTGCAGAAGCAGAAAATGATTCATTAGGAATTCACCTGTCCTCAAGAGCTCAAGCCAAAGTACTGATAACTACTACAGATAGACCTCTCAGTGTAAAGAATTCTTAAATTCATCTGTTTTCTTTCATGTTCTTCAAATTTGTTTGATAATTTTTTACAAAATTTGTAAAAAAAATATCCTAAATATCTAAAAATGATTTATCTTTGAAAAATATTCACTATTTTTTCAATAGTATTATTAATATTTATACCCCTTTGATATATACATACTCTTGAAAACGAACAGACAAACGAATGAATGAACGAACAAATGAATGAATAAAATGGATGAATGAACGAATGAGTGAATGAACAAACAAATGAACGAAAGAACGAACAAACAAAACAGCGAACGAATAAGTTCTGCAAAGAACTCAAGAAGAGCATCCCGTTTAGTGAAATATACTACAGGCGTGGTCTCGACCTCAAGAAGATTACAGATCAGGCCTCTAAGAGGGGCTACACTGCCCTCATTGTCGTGAACGAGGACCGCAAGACACCAAGTATCAATGTTTTAATATTTAATTTCAATTTTTTTCATTTTTCATGTTATCAAATTATTTTATTCCTTTTATGTTTTTACGTCTGGAGACCAAACTTTAGCTTTCTTTTCCACGCTGCAAATTTCGATTTCATAAATTATTTACTTTTAATTTGAGAATTGAAATATAAACAATATGAGATGACAATAATGAGTTGAATAATGTGCAATTTTCTCGACAGATGGCATGATCATCTCTCACCTCCCTAATGGACCCACTGCTTCGTTCAGACTCTCAAATGTTGTCTTTGGCAGAGAAATTAAGGTATTGTCTTTCAGATTCCTCTCTCTTCTCTCTCTCTCTCTTTTTGTCTTCCATCTATCTCTAAACCTATAAATCTATCTCTTCCTTAAATTTTTGTTTTCAATTTCACATTACACACTCTCTGTCTTTTTTTTCTGTCTCTCTCTCTCTCTCTCTCTCTCTCTCTATTCTCTCTCTCCCAAACAGAGAAGTGGCGAACTGACGGACCATCTTCCAGAGCTGATCCTGAACAACTTCACGACCACAGTCGGCAACAGGATCGGCCGCCTGTTCGCCACGTTGTATCCCAGAGATCCGGATTTCCACGGCAGACGAGTCGTCACTTTTCACAATCAGAGAGATTATATATTTTTCAGGCAACACAGGTGTGTGTGTTTTGTTCGTGTGTGTGTGTGTGTCTGTCTGTGTGTGTGTGTGTCTGTCTGTGTGTGTGTGTGTCTGTCTGTGTGTGTGTGTGTGTGTGTGTGTGTGTTGGTGCGCGTAGATGTGTGTGTATGTTCCATCCTTGGAGTAATTTCTAATGCGTTATTTTGTAATAATTGTCATTTCACTAGTTTTTATTTCGTCATTATTATTAACCTATCATTTCTTTAGCTATTGATTAGTTTTATCTACAACAGTCCAACATTACAAACTCTCTATCTTTTTTTTTCTCTTTCTCTCTCTTTCTCTCCGAATTACACTAATTTTCCATTTCCCCTTTCTAAGGTACCAGTTTAGGAACGAGAAGAGGGTGGGCCTGCAAGAGCTTGGGCCGAGATTTACATTGAAACTGAGGACCCTTCAAGATGGCACCTTTGATTCGAAGTTTGGGGACTATGAGTTTATACAGCAGGTTGGTTGGCTGGCGTTTTAATTCATTGATTGATTGGATGATTGATTGACTGATTTATTGACTGATTGATTGAATCTAATTCATCAGCATTTGGTAAAATGGATAATAACCTATTCATTAATTTTAATTGGTTTTTAAAGACAATAATTTGCGACAACGATCATGGTGGTAGTTATTATTATTATTATTTATTATTATTATTATTATTGTTTGATATATAATCTATTTTTCATTTCAGAAAGAGAAATGCAGAAGGAAATTTTCATTGTGAATATTTTTCCATCATAACTTTTATTATTATTATTACTTTTAATATTATTACCGTTGTTTTTATTATTATTATTATGTGTTATTATTAATATTGTTATTGTTATTACGTTACAAAATGATTTTTTTTTCAACAAGTTATGAATGAGTGAGTGAGTGAGTGAGTGAGTGAGTGAGTGAGTGAGTGAGTGATATGTTAAAAATGTGTCAGGATTTTTTTGCGTTACTCTTTGAAATAAACTACGATGCATGTTTAAATGAAACCGCGATCTTCCAATGTATCAATATTTATAAGGCATGTACTAAGTAAAAATGTGAATAGTGTGTGTATGTATTCGTGTACATTGTACATATCTTAAATTTGTATATGCGTTAGTATTGTACGTATATACAACATACATACATACACACACACATTAATATATACTATACATATACAATATATACATATACACGTTCATTTATTTATGATCAATAATACACAGGTTGTGGTAGCAAAATAGATTATTGGCGATATAATACAAAAATGTTCACATGTGTATATTCGATAAGTCGTCAAAGAAATATTTCAAAAATTTTCTAAAGAAGAAGAATACTTGATCCGCGAGTTTGTATCTGTGTGTTTGTGCGTGAATGTGTTTGTCTGTGTCTCTGTGAATGCTTATGTCTTCTCTGTGAATGCTTATGCCTGTTATGTAGTTTGTAGATGTATAAGTGTACACATTTAGTATTTTTGTGCATGTAGATGTATTGTTTGTATGTGTGAGTTCATGCTTGGATATGTCTCTTTCTCTTTGTGTGTGTGTGTGTGTGCGCGTGTAAAAGTCAGTAAGGCAGTGTCGTAAACATTTCCTCAAATACAAAGTAATCAATCTAATGAGCCCTTCTTAAAATCATCCAAACGCCCTAATGATATCGCTCCTTTTACAATTTTATTATTATTGTTGTTATTATTGTTGTTGTTATTATTTACATGGCAAGATGTGGATCTGTTGAGTTTATCGGCTCCTTCGTTCATGACGTCATAAAAATAATCATAATAACTTCCGCTACGATTGTTATTGTTGTTGTTATGATTATTATTATTATTATTTTCTATCGAGACCCTGACCTCAATTACGTCCTGTTCCCTCCCAATTCCGTCACTCTCACCCCCACCACCATCATCAGTACCATCTCTCTCATCGCCATCACGATCTCTCCTCAGTGATGATGAGAGTGATGATTTGAAATTAGTTCGATGTTCTACTTCGCCGGCGGCTTGCGAGGTTCTTCTTGAAACCTTAATGGTGCTGAATCTTTTCTTGAGTTTTGAAGTGGCAGATGGTAGAAACTCTATTAGGCTGGTTAGTCTCGATGATTTTGGTAGGCTTAACCGGTGAAATTTGGTTTTGTTGTTGTTGGTGGTGGTGATGTGGATGTTATCGTTGTTGTTGCTGTGGTTGTAGCTGACTTCATTTTCTTCTACGTTTATACATGTATGATTGTTGTTGACGTTCCTGTTGTTGATGTTGTTGTTGATGTTGTTGTTGTTATTGTTTCGTTTTATAAGAGACAATTTATTTTTCAACCAATTTTTGTTGCTGGGATTTATGTTTATTTTGCTGGTGTCATTCTCGCCATTAACTTTGTTTGAGTTGTTGTTGTTGTTGTTGTATTTGTTGTTGTTGATGTTGTTGTTGTTATTTTTCGATCCAACCACACCGAACAACTTATTCTTGTTAACGGAGGAGTTCTTAGATAAGTTAACACTGAAAATATTCTTTTCATTGAAAGACCTCGACCTGCAAAAGCGCCATCTTTACTAAACAGCCCCCCAAACGTGAAATTGGACGAAGTAGCGGCAGTAGCTAGGCGTCGACGAAACGTTGAAGTCGGCGTCGTAGCCACTGAAGTTGTAGTTGTGTGGCTGTAGTTGTTGTTGCTGGTTTTGTAGCTGTTGTGGCTATAGATGTTGTGGCTGTAGTTGTTGTGGCTGTTGAAGTTGCGACTTATACGTCGGCTGCGGTTGTTGTGGCTGCTGTTTAGCATGAGGTACGACAGCGCTTCTTCGTGAGCACTTAAATGCTTCAAGGACGGCATGGATCGGGAGTATTTTTTCGGTTGCAAAAGTAGGAACGACGGATTGTCGTTGGGACCATCCGGATTACCCTCTTTTACGGTCGAGTTGAAATCTGTAGCATCTGTATTTGAATCGGTTATTACCGGTTTAGTCGGAGTTGTATCCGGTGTTATGCCGTCGTCGGTTACGTATGACATGACGTCATGGTTGTTGTTGTTTGTGTTGTTGTTTGCGTTGTTGTTATTCGTGTTGTTGTTTGTGTTGTTGTTTATATTCTCGTGAAAAGATTTTTGATTTATACTCTGGTCCATCTCAACTAAGGCTTCAAATATATCCGGTAATGTTGATTTCAATGGATGGTTTTGTTTGATATTCGTGTTTAAGTTGTACATGTTGTTGTTGCTCACGTTGTTGATGTTGTTGTTGATGTTATTGTTGTTGATGTTATTGTTGTTGATGTTGTTGTTGTTGATGTTGTTGATGATGTTGATGTTGTTGTTGTGAATGTTTATCTCGCGACAATTGCTTCCACAACCATTTTGAACTTTATGATCGAAACTTAACAATGGTTTGTGTTGTTGTTGTTGTTGATGTTGTTGCTGATGTTGTTGTTGATGTTGTTGTTGCTGCTGTGGCTTCTGCTGCTGCTGCACATTTTTGTAGCGGGCGTTGTTGTTAATGATGGGTAGATAGATACCTTTTCGACGTTTCCGTCTGCAAAAAAAAAAAAAAAAAAAAAAAAAATTTCCTTCATGTGAGTATGTCAACTCCTTTATTGTCAATGTTGTTGTTATTGTTGTATTTTATTATTATTGCTTTTGTTGATTTTGTTGTTGTTGTTATTATTATTATTATTGTTGTTGTTGTTGTTGTTGTTGTTGTTGTTGTTATTGTTATAGATCTAATGTTATGTCTGTGAGAAAATCATTATCATGTTTGTTGGGATAATGATTGCAGGTTGTGTAAATAATTATACCATCTTCGTCATCTTCATCATCTCATCATCATAACAACCACACACACACGCGCGCGCACACACACACTCACATACACACAAACACATACACACGCACAACATCACTATCAACTGAAT